CATTCACATTATAATTAAACACAACATAGCACCAGGTAATGTTTATACAAAAGGCTAAAATGACCATTGTCAATGCTGTACAGTAAAGTTAAAACTAATGATATGCTAGAAGCATTTTTTTTTAAAGGTGCACAGATAACCATCCAAGTCTGTTAAGACATTATTTGAAAAAGACATAAGTAAAATTTATGCTGTAAATGCAAAATGAACATGCATTTCTTTGAGGAACATACTTTACTCTACTTTCAAGTACTTTTTTTCTCAACTCTTTTACTTTAATGAACTTATAACCTCTGGATTCTGGAAAATATTTTACATAGGAAAAAGCAGGAAAAATCTTCAAAATTTTGTCCAAATAAAAATAGTCATTCTTTTTTGACCCAAAATTCTGACCTGCCACATCCTCACATTTGAATGTTAAAAAATATACAAAAAAGACATAAAGTGACTTTGTAAGTATTTAAAGATAGTATTTCACAGAAAGGAGCTGTGCAATATAATTCACCATAAGGAATTGTCTTATAACATTACAGTCTCTTATTTACAGATCCCTTAAAATCCCCACTCAGTTAATAGATTCTGATGAGTCCTTCCTTAAAGGAATCTTAAAGCTAGTAAGTTTCTGCCCAAACAGCTGGCTTAAGAGGTTGTTCTGGGACTCAGCGGTCCGGTAGGAATGGCTCTCCACTGACCTCACCCCCATCTTTGGTCTTGATTTATTCAATGAAATGTTCATGGCAACTGAAGAGACTTTGGAAATGGGAGGATGCAAAGGTCGTCCCAGAGATCCTTTTTTGGTTTTGTACTCCCCGTTTAGAGGATTAACAATCTCTGCTTTCTTTGGACTACAGCTATCAAGCAAAGATCTCTTTGACTGTAAACTCATGTTGGATGTCTTGCTCTTGGGGTCTATCTTATTGCTCACAATGTCATCCCGTACCGAGGACAGCACTGGGTAGTCACATGTTTTGTCCGACTTTCTTTGTGCAGAGGAATTTGGACACTTGCTAGGGCGAAATTTCTTTTTAGCACTACAGTCTACGCCGTAGTTCTCCTGTGTGACTGCAGAGGAGACTTTCTGCATGCTGTGAGGGGATTTCGTTTCTTTTCTCTTCTTGTGTGGTCTGAGCAAGTCCTTGTCCTCATTTGAGATGGAGAGGTGAATAGGTGTTGATGCTGGAGCCTTTGTGCCACCGGCTGTGGTGTTTTTTGTATTGTCACTTTTTCTGGCACTTTTGCTTTTCATGTGACTGCTGCCATCCAGCTCAGCACAGTGAGATAAAGTTTCCTGTTTGCTGTCGTTATAAAAATCTTTTGACATCTGCTGCTGCGGATCTTTCTCCTCCAACTGCTGGTCCATCACTTCGACGGCGTCTTCATGCTTCTCTGGTGAATTTGAAAAGATTAGATTTTCTCTCACGCTGACACCAGAATCTTCACTGAGTTGAGATAAATTTGTTGTTTTCTCCGTTCCCTCTGTGTCCTCGTCACCCAGACATTCTGCATCTTCTGGATTCCCATTCTGCTTTTCCACATTGCTGTTTTGTCTAGATGCTGACCATGAGGGAATATCATCCCTAATGCAGACGGACTCAGTCTCCTCTTTGACGTCACATACTTGACTTTCGGATTTCCCAGCGCCTTCTTTTATTGGATCAGATGATGGTGTCATATCCACCTCCTCTTTCTTGGGAGAAGCAGAGTTGGATGAGCCAATGTGAATGCTTTTCTCCAGCTCTACAAGTAGTTCAGAGTAGTCCTCAACATCTTCAGTCTTTACATTATTATTGTTGGTGTTGTTGAGATATTCATTTGGAGCTGTCTGCGTGGAATCATCTGCCGTGAACACAGACACTTTCAAAGACTGCATGTCGGAGTTTTGATTTAAATGCACTGAGCTTAAGCTTGCGATTCCACTATCCGAGCTACTTTCCTGCAGACTTTCAGAAATAATTCTTCTCTTTTTACTCGCAGGTGAATCACATTCATCTCCTTTAAAGGTTGACACTCTGACAGGTCTGAGAACACCTCGGAACTTGAAAATTTTATTCCCTCCAGACAGGTGCTTTTCCATGTGACGATCAAACTGCTCCTTTTTAGAAAAGGTATAGTTGCAGGTGCTGCAAATGAAGGATTTTTTGATGACGTGCATGACATCAGCACAAAGCTCACAGGTGTATAGAGTGGTGTGTTTGGAATCCAGTTCATCCACCTCCTCGTGTGCTTGCTTCAGATGTTCTTTAAGCGCTTGAGCCTCCTGATAAGAAACAGGGCACTTGTGACACAAAAATATCTTTTCTAAATTGTGAACCACCAAATGTCTCTGGAGTTTGAATGGTTTGGGGAACTGTTTCCCACAGTGGTGGCAATCTCTGGATGGATCTTTGCAGTTAGGATGCATCTCCACGCTTTTGGTCGTCTCTGTGCTGTGAAGGACCTCGAGTGGAGTAAAGGCACTGTGCTTTCCACCTGCTCCACTGCTGCTTTTCGTTTTGTGCACTTTTGGCTCTGCCCCTTCTAATGGTTTTCCTTCATCTACGATGCTTTCTGCTGAAACAGCACTTTCTTGTTCTTTAGAAACTTTGCCTGTATCTCTGGCAACCCTGCTGGGGCGGTGTTGCATGATTGAAGTGATGAAGTTCTTCACTGCTGTCTCCTGCATGAAGCAGCCGGAGATGTCTAATATTGAGCCTTGAGACTGACCCCGGCGGGCAAACTGAGTAGCATGCTCGCGTAAATGTTCATTATACATCCACACATCAGATATTTCCTTCAAGCACATTCCACAGGTCCAGATACCGGTCTTATTTTTGGCATGTTTCTCCCTCAGGTGGTCTCTCAGTTGTTCCCTGGAGCTGAATTTACGCTGAACACACATGTAACATGTTGGGGGAGGCGAGGGGTTGTGGGACAACTTATGGAAGTTCAGCTCACCCAGTGTAAGAAACCAAGTGAAGCACACTTTACACTTATACTGCTTGTCCTTGACCTTTATTCCCCCATCCTGTCTTTTTCTACCACGCCTCTCTGATACTTTCTTCAGCTTCTCTTCCCCTTTGTTTTCTACATCGACAGACGTTGAAGACACAGAGACATCGTTGGAGTTGAAGGTATGGGCCTCCGGAAGTTGAAATGTGGTTTTGATGCTTTGTATATCGATGCTGTGGAATGGCTGTACATTCTCTGTGACACATGGTTCCACAGGGAAGGGGTCCGCCGGAAGGGGCAAAGGCTTTTGTGTGACTGGTGCTTCAGCTTTACATGACCTGGGGTCAGGGATAACTCTGGATTCTGCATTAAATCCAGTAAAGTCAGCAGAGTCATTCCATTCAATAGATGATTTATCAATGGTGCTCTCATGTAGATTCCTACTGTTGTCAGACTCTTTAATTACCTCCAGAACTTCCGTTGGATCATTCTGTTCAACATCTGGCGATGGTTTGGCATCAGCTGTCAACGAGCTGTTGTGGCACATTTTCAACTTGATGGCATCATCGATAGATATTGTCTCATATTCACAGTGCTTATTCTTATCCTCGGAAAATGTGTGCTCTGCTTGTTTTTCCACGCAATGAACTTTATTTGACACAAGGATTTCTGAAGTAGGGCAGTCCTTTGTCCCATCGGGGTTGGATAACAGTTTCTGTCTTTTGTTTTTTTTGCTGTACACTCTGGGGCACTTGTTTCTTTTTGCCTCTTCATTTCTTGGAAAAAGTTGAGAGAATGTGGCATCGTCCTCAAGTATGGCTGACAAGTCAGAGGACATCACAGATGGAGAGAGAAGTGGAGAGTTCAAACTGGAAAAGGTGTCTACCTCGTCTGGGGTACAACCATTTTTCTCACTTTTTATCTGAACTATCATTTCTGTAAGATTTTTATGATTAAGGTTTTCATCTGAAGTTTTCTGCTCACACATGTCTTTCACTAGAGCAGGAGTCAGACTGGAGTCGTCAGATTCTCTGATCGTCTCCTTGTCGGTAACACCTTCCACATCATTGTCTTCTCTATTTGGCATCTCTGACAGGCTTGAACATTTCATATCCTCTGCATGAGTGGCTCCATTTAGCTCCACAGTTTCATTGGGTGCACTTGTCGGCTTTGTTAGAAGTTGTGATACGTCCACAATGCCAGACGTGACAGGATGAGCGAATTCCTCTGTTCCAGTACCAGTACTGTCAGGGATTCTCACCTGGTCGTCTGCTGATTTGTTTTGTTCTTGTAGTCCACTGCTTTTGAATCCAGGAGTTATGGCTTGAAGTATGTCTGTTTTCAATATATTCAAAATCTCATCAGAAAAAGGGTCAGACATGATGTTTATTTCACTGCTTTTGTTCTTCTTAGCCTTGTTGTTTTTCTTCGTCTTTGCTGGCAGCAGAGAGTTTTGTGGTCCTTTTTCATTCACTGCGACTGCACTTTTCTCATTTGCCCCTTTCTCCTGAGCCAACTCGGTCTCAGAAGCCTGAGAGATGAGAGTGCTACTCGTCTCAGGCAGTCCATCTATTTTTGTCATATAACAGATTTGTGATTCATCTCTATATTCTTTCTCTAAAGTTTGTGACTCTTCATACATAAGCATATTTCCCTGATGGTTTGATGTTTTCTGTGGGACGCTGTGTTTTTCAGCTCGCACCAAATGTTTCATGGCCTTATGTCTCTTCAATCCGGGAACAGTTCTGAATCCCATAAGGCAGATTTCACAGAGCACTTTACCCTGCTGCGAATTGCTTTGTGTCTTCTTTGGTGCTATTTCTTTTGGCACATTTTGTGTTGTTAAAAACTGACCAGTCTTTGATGGTGGTACCTTTTGTAACAGATCTGCAGGAAGAGGCCTTTCTTTAATTTCACAGATCGTGAGAGAAGTGGGCAGGCTTTCTGAAATGTCTTTTTGACATATGATGTCCTCTGCGGAAGATGTGTGGCAATCCAAATTCACCGATTCAGGATTTTTAAGCAGATCACCATCCAGTTTACCTGTAGGTTCCACCAAATCGTGATCAATATCTAGGTCTTTGTTATAATACTCAGCTTGAAATGCTCTGCTGTTGATGTCAGCTGGTAGACCTAGTGAAAAGCAAGATAATTTTAAATGCTGCTGAAGAGGTTCATTTGCTGAATTAACATTTGCCACAGGGTCGGCGTTTATTTTTGTGTCTGTTGCAGCTTGGTCGAACATTACTGGTGGATTTCTGTTCCAGTCACAAGGGTCACAGACATTTTGGAGACTCTGCTTTACTTCTGCATTGTCTTCAGTTTTGCCAGCCGGAGAAATGGGTATGTAGTCGTATTGATTTAGATGTGCATGTTCATCAGAAATACTGTTGTAGTTAAGAGGGCTGAGCTTGAAATCATAACTTTGGTCTTTTTCTTTCTCTGCCTCTTGCTGTTGTGCTGTTTGTGTCACAGGTGGAAATGGTGATGGGCTGGGATCTTCAGAAGTGGAGATTTTACGCTTGGTGCTTGTCAGGTTCAGGTGAGGAGAAGATATGAGAGAGTATTTCACCCCAGTGTTGGTATTCAGCTGTTCATCACTATTTAACATCTCTGAGACACCTTGACTTTCATCTTTGGTTAAAGTTGCTTTGACACTGTCGCCTGAATCCTCCTCAACAGACATGTACTCAGCTTGGATATGGGACATTTGACACATATCTTCCTGTAAGTCATTTTTTTCTTTAAGTGTTGATAAAAAAGAATTGCTCGATGGGGAAGAGTGTAGGAAAGTGCATTGACTTTTGTCCACTTCCTCCCTGCATGGTGAATTTTGGTGACTTGCCAAGAAATTATCCGGGAGATGTTCTTTAATTTCCTGGACTTGTAAAATTTCATGGTCTTTCTGCACAGTGTCAAACGCAAGAGGTGTTTTGGGTTTCAGAGAGTTGTCAAATGGCGTGTCTCCACAGGAACTGATGTTGAGTAGAGTATCAGGATGTGAAAGAGCCAACAGACAGTGTTGTCCTTCATCGGACTGAGTGTCTTGGAAAGGTGAGCACTGATAAGTCTCCTCTCTGATGTTCTCCAGTATCGGAGTAGAGGGCTCTTTCGTGGGGACTGTGTCATGTGACAAATCAACTGCTTGACCTTCACCACAGTTCAAAGCAGGACTGGGATTTCTGGAGATGGAAAGTCCAACCAATTCATAATTTTTTGCTGGTTCAACGGCTCTGATTGCACTGTTTTCGACGCTATAATCAACAACATGTGATGGTTCCTGTTCTCCAGTATTAGCCTGATTAGAGGCCTGGTCTTCCAGTGGTGTTTCCGTCACATTGGTCATTTTCTTGTCAATAATTGCACTAAGGTCATCTAAAGGTGGGGAAGAAGGTTGGCTGGGAGACTGAACCACACTGGTGCTCACTGCCTTTGCTTTATCAGAGCCTTCAGAAGTCAAATGCTCTGGGCTGCCCCTATTTATTTTAATCGACTGATTCAAGTTTGGTCCGGCATTAGTGTTCTCAAAGGAGTTCTGATCTCCATTCAGATTTTGTGGTACCACAGCTGAGCAGTGTGCAGATGGGATCGAATGCTTATTATCAGGGACATCCCACTTTGATGTGACCTCACAGGGCCCACTTGGCTCTGATGGAATTGGCAGCTGTCCATGAACTGTAGTGTGAGTGCCGTTGGTCAAAGATGACGGTGAGTCATTCAGAATTAAGTCAATATCATTCTTTCTCCCATTGTAACTTGGAAAGCATAATATATTTGTCTCAGTATTTGCTTCCTTTTCACTGTGATCCATTTTCTTATCCACGTCAGCTGTCTGACATTGAAATTCTTGATGTTGTTGACAGGTAAGCGAGGTGACCTCCTTTTGTTTGACAATGATTGATTCTTCTTTGAATATGGAGTCTGAAATAACCTCCAGGCTTTTCATTAGATTTTCTGTATATCTCTTCTCCTCTAAGTACTTCTCTTTTGCTTCTAAAGAAGCTGCTTTTTTAGCACACCGCTCCTGTGATTTCTGTAAGCATTCAGTCAGACATGGATCTTCATTGTCTTTTGTGGTTAAAAGCTCCAGTCCAGTTTGATTGCAGTTGTTCGAAGTGTGGGGACTTTGGTTTGCCTCTACTAGTTCAAATGCAAACGGGCTAGACCATGGGAGGCCAGTTTGAGTGAAAGGCACCGAAGGCATTCTAGTTTCTTGCACATTGGTGGGTCTCATTTCGAGATCAGTGTTTTGACTCTCTGTTTCATCATCCAGTCTTAAAGGTGAAAACTTGCTCATCTGCAGTTGCTTGGGGACGTCCTGATCCAGTAATGGTGGGCTTTCCAACTTGGTTGTCTGCAGCTGGTTTTCAAGCTCAGTCACTATTCTCTTTATCTCAAGCTCATCTTCAGATGCGCAGCTGTTTAGATTAGCACTGTAATCTATTATTTTTTCTGGCAGAGACAAGGGGATGTTATTAAAATCGGGTTTCTTTTCATCTGTTTTCTCAGTGTTCTCTTTATACTGAGAAATTTCATCTGGCAGCACAGGGCTAACTATTAGGTTCCAGTCTCTCCCTTCCAGAAAGGGAGAAAACGTAGATATGAATTCCTCTTTTTTATCAGTTGTGTCCTCTACTTGATGTAGACTGTCTTTCTGAATTGACATTTCTGAATAAAGTCCACTGTCAAATCCTGCGAGGTCTCCAAACATTGAAGACGTGTCAAACGAGAGTGGGGATTTCATGAGCCCCTGCTCCTGATCCAGAGGGAAGGGCATGAGTTGGAGTGTATCTTTTTGTATCAACGGGCTGTGGTTTCCAGATGGAGACAGACAGACCTCGTCCATCAAAGAGGTGCACAGAGATGCAGGCTTAGGTGTGTCAAGATTATTACCTAAAGTCATATCCACTTTCATGTTGTTACATTTTTCCAACATGTGTTTTGCGCTCCTTGTGTTTTTGTCAATATGAGTATTAGTTTCTCTGAAATCAAACTGTGAAACTTGGTTATGTGCAACTTCTTCTTTGCTGCTTGGATTGCTGAATCGCTGTAGATTGCTTACATCTGAACTGAGTGTTTTCCTGGATTCTTTCTGGTGAGAAATCTGTTTCTCTTTTAACGACGTCTGTGACATTCTATTTTTTTCAGAGTTTTTCACCATGTCCCTTGATTTTTGAAATGAAGACACTGGATTGGCTATCTCTAGGTCTGTGGGGTTCTTCTTTGGGTCACATTTGTTGCTTTTGTGATCAGACAGCATTACTCTGTCGGTGTTACACTTCTTGACAGATTTAGTAAATGTCAGTGCTAGTGTGCTGGACCCTTTGCATAGCTTCTGTGGGGAGTCCCTTTCATAGGTTCTTTGTTCTGAAGACTTGTTGATTTCTGTCTTCTTCTCAGAATCAGAGTCAGTGCGATCAGTGCATTTAGGGCTGTTAACACTATCACCCAAAACACTCATAGATGTGCTCACTTCACTGCTGGTGGACGACTTGCTACCCCTTCGTCTTAGCCTCTGGTGCGAACCATGTTTTTCTGGTGAGAGAGAGAATTCTTCACTCTTTTTCACCACAAGGCTCTCCTTTGACTCCTGTTGCCATGCTGCCTGCTCTCTCTCGATCCTTGCGCCTCTTTTACACTCTTTACTGTATGTGTATTTACAGCGATTGCCTTGATTTAGTCGTCCCTGGCTGGCTATCTTTACAGGCTCACAATCATCATCTGAGTCTGAGACGTAGTCATATTCTCCAAATGCAGGGTTCTGCACCGTGGGAGTCAGTCTCTCCATCACCAAGGAAAACTGGAGACTTTTGGTACCTTTGACGTGAAGCTTATGGAGTTTATTTTTCTGCTGAACTATTTTGTGAATAAGTTCTTTGCTCCAAGTTCCACCTCTAGTGCCTTTCCTTTTGCTCTCTTTCATTGCCGATTTTGGAGTTGGAGATGTAGACACCTGTGTGGGCGTTGATCCCCGAATTGCAGAAAACTTGTTTGACAAGATAAACTTTTGTGTGTTTGTTTTTTCATCCTCACTCTTGCACACGTTTCCTACCGCCTTCACTTTACTGTTCTGATCTTTTGTCTTTTCTCTTGCGGCACTTTTTGAATTTTTATTCTGCACTTCTTTTTTTATGTTTATTTTATCATCTTGTTCCAAAGATGTTTTCTCAAGCTTACTTTTTGCACACTGCTTTCCTGCGTTAGGACTTTCAACATCATACTCGTTGAAATATTTGCCCTGGGTGAAAGCCTTGTCGTTCTCTGTTGTTTGCCTATTTTTGTTCTCAAAGATCAGGTATTCCTTGGTTTTTAAACACTGTTTGTTTGACGTTGATTTCATAGTGGTGAGCTCATCATCGGTGAATGCGTCAATAAAGCTGCTGTCTATTTCTGCGTTGTCTGACTGATAGCCTAATCCATTTAAAGCTTCTGTGATTAGGCTGTCTAATTTTGCATCCTCCAGTTCCAGATCAGGAAGAGGGGCAGGAATGTTGCCAGAGCTAGAGAACAAGTTGAGTTTATTTGGATCGTCCTTACAGTCTCCTTTTGCCTCAGCCTCAGGTGTTAGTTCACCATTTTTGTTGAGGCCTAACAAAGACAAATGGAGCTCAGATGGACACCTGGTCATTGAAACATTTGGTGCAGCAGATGCTGGTTTAGATAACTCTGAATAAAACTTCCTGTTTTCATCCATCTTTGGCATTTCCTTAAGTTCGTTCGGTGTAACTGTGTGTTGACTACAGTACTGCTTATGACCTAAAAAGGAAGCCAGGTTACTGAAATTTTGATCGCACTGCTTACAGGTAAGAAGGATATCGAACTGGTCAAGATTCGCTGTGGCTAGCGAGCTGGCCAACAGCTGATGCGCTGAGTACGGAGGTGGAGGCTGGTGATGCTCCACGCCGAAACTGTCAATGTAACTTTTGTTTCCATCCATATTTGTTTTTGGTTGCGAAGTGTTTTGCAGGTAATTCACCATTTCGTCTTTGGCTCTTTCAGTTGCAAATGGAAGGTTGCGTGAAGCATCTGAATGCAGTTGGAGGTTGTGAGAGCCAAGATGATCTGAAGTGAGTTGAGGTTTGGTTTGAGGCTGGTGGTAAAACGTATGTGACGGTGCTGACTTTGACATTTGACTGTCATCGGAGCTGATGTTAACAGGACTGGTAGAAGCTGGGGAGAGGGATGAGCATGTACTACTAGATGTAGGGTTATTTACCGGTGAGGGCAGAGGGGACTCATAAGGTGACACCATCATAAGTCCCAATGGTGGGACCTGTAGAGGGGGATAGTTATAGTTTCTTGCTGCCACTGGTAAGGACTGGTTGATGCCAAAGTATGTGACCTTATTTTTGGTCTCACAAACCTGCGCTTGGTTCATCTCCACTTTAAAAGTCGAGACTGTGTTACCACTATGTTTAACTGTCTCCTGTCTCTGGTTTGAAAAACCATCGCTACTTCTGTTGCTCTGAAAAGAGGAGGTTTTCAGGGAGCTGTGTTTGTGCGATTTACTATCATCCTGCCATTCTGTGGGGGAAACTATGTAAGCCAGTTTTTGATTGCTTATTTGTCTGTTTGGCACGTGAGATGTTTGCCGAATCTGCTGCCAGGGCACTCTGCTATTTTTAGATGTATTTGGCCTCTGGTCAAGTGTTGGCTGATCTTGAAACTGAAATTTTTCTGCCATGTCAGAATACTGAATAGTCTTTTGATCGGTGGGAGAAAATGCTTTACTTTGAGCCTCCCAGGAGTGTGGTAATCTATTTAGAAGTTTGTTATTAATGGGTATTGAGCCCGTGTGCACGCCATTAACTGGGTTGTTAAATGTTTTGCTGGAAAAGTGCATGTGGGAGCCAGGACCCTGTGTGGTATTTATCGGGTGGTGCCCACTTCCTTCTAGGAATGTTCTTTGATTGCCAGCAGTTTCTTTAGGAAGGCAGTTTCTTTTTATCCCGAGGGTGATAACTGCATCCCGACGGTCTGCTTGTCCATTAGTGTCTGTGTTTTCAGGCATGGCAGCTTTGCCCTGTTCCAATTGCTGCAGGCTCGAAGCAGAGCTCTCACTGCTGGCTGAGTCCTCGTTCAGATTCCTGTAGGACGCAACCCCTTGAATGTACTGTGGCTGAGGGGAACAAGAATAAGCACTAGCATCCTCAGACTGTTGCTCATTATTAAACTGCGTGCTGTTGGGAACAATAGTTTGTCCTTCTCCGTGCGTAAAGGCAAACGAGTTGTGAGACACATGAACTGAACCTATAGAGTCTGTAAAGTCTTGTGATTGGTGGTTCTGTTCATGCGATAAAGAGTCTGAGGTTGATTCCTCCAGAAAATTATATCCATACTGAAAGGGCCCTGACACCATGGCACTTGTCTTATTGGCTTCTGTGAGGCCCGTGGATTTGAGTGATGAAACTCCATAGTTAGCACCATTAAAAGTCTTCTCCGAAGACTGCCATGTGTCAGAGCCACTCAGCTGAAAGTCGGCCAGCAGTAGCTGGCTGCCAGGCTGTGCATTGCTGTTCTCCATTGGGGAAGGCTGCTGCTGCTGCTGCTGCGACAAGGGTGTGTGTGGGTGGAATGATGTTGCACCTGAAGTACCCGGTACCTGTGAGGTATAACTTGGAGAGGTAAGGTTAGACGAGGCCTCCTGAAAGCACCGGCTGAAGCTGAGCTCTTCCTGCTGTAGTTCAGCCTCTCTCTCAGCTACAGTGGGAATGTGAAACCTGTAGCTGCTCAAAACTGGGCCACGACTGGATTCTAACTTCTTGGGTGGTAAAATCTTCTGCTGTGGGTATGCGATACCAATGGGGTTGTTGGAGCGAGGGTTTGTAATGCTGAGTCTGTGCAGCTGCTGTGGGTTGCCACGGTCTGCCTTTCCCGAACGCTTCCCCTTATCCCTGTTTCGTCCCTTTCCACTCGGAGACTGGGGGCTGCCTTTGCTACTCGACCAAGATCTGTCAGTTGCAAATTTTGATCTGTTCTGCAGTGAGCTGAAGTCAATCTTTCCAGCTTGCTGTGGGCGTATGACAGCCTCACGCTGTTGAGGACAGTCCCTTTCCTCCTCTAGTTTTTCAGCTTTGGCCCCTCTGCTGCTGGGTCTGGCCTCAGTGCCGGTGCTTGAAAAGTGCTCTGAAGATTCCTTTGTGGATTTGTCACTCTGCTCTTCCACTGCTGTCCCCTCATCCTGCAGTTTGGACTCAGTGTGCAGCTCTTTGACAGTGTGCATTCGCTGTGTCTCTCCTGCCATGGTGCACAATACGTGCTGTGAAGGCCTGGTCCTCAGAACTGCTATCTGGGAGACAGGTGCATCATTCTCTGCGTGGCATTAATCAGTAAAAAACCAGTGGCAGGAACTGCACAGACAGCACTACTTCCTGCAGATTCATCTCTTCACCTTCATTGTGCAAGTTGCTGTGTTCCCAGGGTGAAGCAGATCTGAAAAAGAAAGAAACATTTTTGAAAATGTATATATTTTATTTTTTCAGTTTGAAATTTAATGCTGTATTTTCATGAACATGAACAAGAAAACAATTCAAACTATGTAAAATTTATTTAGTTTACAAATACACAAAAAACAACGTGGAAAATATTTTTATTCCAGTGTTCTTCCAGCAGGGTGCCCTATTTCCAACTTGCAAGAAAGTAAGAAAAATTTGTGGGAATTAAAATAAAACAAAATCAATAAAACAAAACTCACAACAGCAACTAAACAACAACAAGAAACTGTTGCTACTAAAGAATTTCACATTGGACACAGCTGTGAAATTCTTTATAAACAAGCAGGTCTTGGTCTTGACAAAATTGAAGGTCTGAACATCACTGGGAAAAAGAACTACAGTGCATGAATCCAAAATGCACAGCCAGTAAATGAATCACAAACCTCTGAGGACCTGCGACACAATGCAACACTGTTGTATTGCTAGAAAGTGCTGCAGGTTTAGATCATGGAGAAATATCAGGGATTAGTCACTGAGCCATTACAACTGAGAAATATGGGCACATTGATGTTTGGTGCATTTCCTTAGACTTTCCAGACTCTGCCTCTCAGTCCCCAGTTTACTTTGGACCTGCACATCCTCTGCAGCTTCTGAGGTGAAACCTGATGAAATTTGGAATCTGCACCAAAACGTAATATTCCGAGACTCTTGACTCAACATTCATTCCAATGTCCTTGGCTCTCAATGTCCTTGATGTCATTTTACTCACACCAGCGGTCAACAAGTTGCTGTCCATTTGATCTCTCTCTCTCTCCCTCTCTGTCTCTATATATGAATAACTTATTTTCCCTCCTCCTTTCTCTCTGAGGTTCTCTATTTTGCAAGTTTCCGTTACCTTAACACTGCAGTTCCCAAACATTTTTGGCTGAACACCCCATTTTATATACCAACCGTGTTGACTGACCTCCAAACACCATACCAGCGAACGCACATATAACACACATTCTGATTTACAAAGGAAATGTTTATTTATACATCTTTACTGTGTGCATAAAATCCACTTAAAAAACACTTCGAACTGCCGATACAAATCAATCGTTTTTAAAAAATCTTTTGCACCCCTAGTGGTAGCTCTCACCACACTTGGAATTCCTGGTTTAAAGCATTAGGACTGGTTACAGGCCTGGCGTCTGACCTAAAGTTGAACCTCCCACAAATGCAGATTGAGGTGCCTGGTATATCTTGGAAATTGTTCATTATTATAAATAACCCATAAACATTATTTTTACATACATGTGTATCTCAAAAGATTCCAATGCTATAAATACTGGAAAACTATCTCATTCTCTGGCAAACATCTGTGAGGCCTTTAACAGGTTGAAAGTCAGTCTTGAAGCAGAGACCTGGCTGAGTTTAGGCTAAGTTGTGAAAAATCACATCCTTTCATCAGCTCCAAAGTATCTGAAAGCCAGAGTGTGTGTCGCAATGGTGTCTACCTGTACTGGAAATCTGCATGACTCTTCGCCAAAAGAAAAGGCTCACAGGGCCAATGGCCACAATCATATGTGCACTGTATTTGTTCAGACTGACCTGTGAAATTTGTGGCTAAAGATACACATTTGTAGCCTTTTGTTCTTCCCCCTGCAGCCCAATGCAGCTGAGTTGTTTACGGTAATCCTCGCCACAAAAGCTTAATTTATTTTACATGGACTATGGTGTGTATTCGTCTGTCCAAGTATCAGTAACTTTGGTGAAGGTCATTATTTTGTTGTCCTGAAATTCTATCTTAAAACACACTGCTATACAAGTTGAAGAATGAGGTGTTAGCAAAGTTAGAATCTGTGTTTGTGTTTCCATCTGAAACATGACACGATACTCGTATTTGTACGTGCTTTTAAAAAGTAGATAAATGTGGGTAAGACTATGTTTGAACTATTTCCCTGTAATTAAAATAATATGTATTACCTTTTCAGTAAGGAAACTTTAATAAAACTCTTTCCTGAAAGCCTTTTCCTGTCATTTTATTACAGGGTGTATGAGGTGTTGGCCTAAATAAAATAAAAAAGCCTTTAGTAGCAGTGGGAAAATCTACTGATATTACATCAACGTCTGTAGCCCGTAACTGTTTTTGAGTCATATGCATTCATCCACTGCGTCAGATGACCAATTAGTTCCAGGTCTCACATTTAGTTGACCTTAAGGGTCTCATTCTTGGGGAAACTCTTCTTTTTCAGCTATTAGAATTCCTGTTGATTCGGGCTCCGAAACAAAACAGCGGCGAGTGAAATGTTAAAAACAGATGCCTCCAACCAAAAAATGGTGAGCTTTACATCTGTGTAAGACGCCACGTAAAACCTGTACAATGCATCATTAGAGCCCAGGGAAGGAGAAAAGCAGTGCCAGCAGTGGTAGCAGTGATTCCATTAATAATAACATGAACCAGTCAGTGGTATTAACAGGAATTCCCTGAGGTTGTTTGTGCTTTTCCCTCTGCTCATTCACAGAAATATAACTTTTCACACATTCCGAACACCGGGAAGAAAGAAGGATAAAGGCACAGAGGATGGGTTTGTGAGAATAGAAATGATTCCAAAAGGTGAAGAGAGGAAGTTGAGAACTCTGCGTAATCCGGTAGTTTTTAGAATGAGAGGGGTGAGAAGGAGGGAGGGGTGGGGGTGGGGGGGTCAAGTGGGAGAATGAAGCTGTCTGACTGCTCACATCACACTTCTCTCAGCACGACCGGTCCAGCAGGGGAAACGCACAGTTGGCCGGCGGCCCAGATGCACCGGCGCTCTGCCAAAACCATGGTCAGGCTGCCTGAATATATTTTTGGAAATATGCATTTTGCAAAGTGTGTTACCTTCAGGTTCCTAGCTCATGTGTAAAGTCAGAAAATACAGGATGAAGGATATAAAGAGAGTGCTTTCAAAGCCCTGTCACGAAATGGTCATCGTTTTAAAAGTCATGGGGTGTAAAAGGCAGCAGCGTTGAGTTTACTTAAAGTTCTTAACTCAAGTAAACGTCTTGATTTAAGACTCATGGATAATGATTAATGAGCCGTGTGTCTGGGATTCACTCTGGTGACGTTTGGTCTGAAGTTTTCTTTATAAAATGTCAAAAGAAAAAAAAATCAAATGAAAGAGTGAGCCCAGTGTTAAAGCCTGTTATACTCATGCCTCCCTACCTCCACCGACCATAACCCCACCCTTAAACCAACGTGGTTAGCTGAGCAGTTGGGAAAAGAGAAGAAGTGTGTGTGTGTATATAGCGTGTGTGTGCGACTCTAAAGGGGCTTGGTGTGTAATTCCAGAGGCTCTCCCTGCCCCCTCCCAAGTTTTTCCCTCTGTCTTAGACCATTTTTTTCTTTTATTTATTTTTTTAACCACCGGATTCTGGACTGAAATAATTTCCATACTGCAAAGCCCAGCATTCCACCATCGTGATGGAATCTTCATTTTGAGTGCATAAAGACAATTTTTTCCTCATTTTGACATAGTTTCCTTTATTTCTGGATGTCTATGAAATATAACTGCTAGGTTGTGTCAAATAGAAAGTAAAGTAAGTAAGAACAGGATATTAGCAAAAGAGGGAAAAAAAATATCGTGACTTCAGTTTTAAGTACGTTAACTCAATTTTTAAATTCCTTCTTTTTTTTGAGTGCATAAATATTTGGTTGTCTCCGTTCTGCCTGAGGGCAAAGTATTTGGTTGCATCTCAAAGTCCAGCAAAATTTCATTAAGTCTAAAAGAAACTTTGAGGTGGAATGAAACAAAGGTTCATTAATGATGGCCCTCTCTGACCCCAAACCTAATTACTGCACGAATGTCATCTGGCTAATCTCTAGTGCTGTGTCAGCAGCTCAGGATGCAGCCTAATCCCATTTCTTAGTTTAACCCCTACAATTTACCTCCAGTTCCTTTGAACTTAGTTTGCGTAGTTTATAGTATAACTGTGAAATGGGAGGTGCCTTTAAGAACTTAGGACCTTACTATATGGTGAGGTCAAATACTTACAATTGGTGTTTTTATGTTTGCCAAAATGCACTGGTTAAAGTGTAAAAAAGTGTTTTAAAGATGTCAATGTAAAATGGGCAGAAAAATCTGAAGGCCTGTAAACTCTCACACTCCTAAAGGAATCCCCGAAGAGTGAGTGAAGTCTATGAGTATTTATCCCTCAATTATGGTTTCTCACATACTGTTTTTGACCTTATGGTAATAACTGTTTTATATCAATCTAACTGAGGATATTCCAGCTATCTCAAATTTGTCACTTAAACCTAAAATGAATGCTATTTTTTACAGTTTGCGGTGCAGGGGGAGAGGCTCAGAACCCACCGGCTGCAAAAGAGAGAGTCTGATCAACTCTTGTTCCCTTAATATTCAGAGGGAAGCTACCCCTGCAAAAACAATTGACCTACCAACCAACCAACCTATCTATCAATACAAGTACATTTTTTAAGAGATAAGTGTGTGATTAATATTATTATTAATATTATTTGATTTATTTATGTCCACAAAAAACTACTACACACAGAGGCAAGTCCTATTCTGCACACGGGGCCACACAGATGTTATAGTCCTTAGTAAGCATGCTGTGTATATTTTCATTATTTGTACAGGACGCAGTAATACCAGTAATCATATTTGAACTTGCTCTCATCAATCAGTGCTAATTTACAAGAGGAACCATTTATTTATACAGGAGTAGCACGTTTTGCTCCATTAACATTAAATACAATAAAGTCGGTGGCAGTTAGAGGGGGTTTGAGGCAGCACCAGGTAAAAGTGCTGAGATGAGACCGGTGCCTGCAGCAGTGCAGTGTTACAACTTGAGTGTCAGCGGCCTCAGGGGACCGGGCCTTTTCTCACTGACCTGTCACCTCACCACCAATAACTCACTGAACAAACCCTACCTAAGACGAGTACATGCGTGCAGAAAGGACAGACGATCATCAGGTATGAATCTTTCAACAGAAAACAATACTACACCCGATGCGTA